CTTGTTGCTCATGGGGCAGTAGCTGTCGAAGTTTAAGTATTTCGCCGTCCATCTTGGTTTGTGTAAATTGATCTCAGGAGCGAACCATCTGATCTTTTCAAAGCTACATCCAAGAAACTTAAGTTTCCTGGTGTTTCGCTTTATATGATTAACTTGATCTCTGAATGACATTCATTAAACGTTTTGAGCATCCGTTCCGCTTGCTGGGCTTCCTCAACCATCGCAAAGGTGTCATCAATATATCGCGCGTACAAGTGAGCTTCCTGTATAGGGTGACACTATTTGGTGTTCTCTAAATGAGCTACGAAGATGTCATCCAAAATGGGACTACCCATCGCTACAACCTCAATCTGCCGATGGAGACTTCCATTGATTAAAATTGAACATCTTTTGTACATATACGAATTAACTTCTTAAATCGATGTGGTGGAAACCCCCATTCTACCTGCATAACTGCCTATGATGTTCAGCGTCTCTTCCAACGGGACATTGGTAAATAAAGAACACACGTCAAAAAGTACCATTCGCTTACCGCTCAGGTTTAGATTCCGAATCATTTCAACGAAGTCAATTGAATCTTTCAAGCTGTGCACCGCCAACGCACGTCGGATGGACTCAGTTAGCCTAGCCAACCATCGTGTCATTTCCTGGTGCGGTGTTCCAACCATTGAGAGGATTGGGCGTAATGGAACCCCTTCTTTCTACACTTTCGACAACCCATACATCCGAGGAAGTCTGGAACTACACGTTCGTAGTTGTGTCATGGTATTGGCATCGATCAATCTGTCTTTGTGCAACACTCGCAGCTCGCGGGTTATCATCTTTCCAATTTTTTCGATTCTATCACGGCCTGTCAAGTCTCTAACAAATCGACTTTCCTTCATGAGTGTAGTTGGCATTTTCTGTAGGTAATCCCGTTTGTTCATCACAACGACTCCGGAACCTTAGTCAGGTCTCAGTATTAGTACATCATCATTGCGACGCAACTGCATCAAGGAATCAAAATGGTCCTTCGTAATTATTCGACACTTTTCGGGCTTCGTAACGTAAAACTGATTGGCTATAGCTACAGCTTTGGCCCTAAACCATCCAACGTCATCATCCGTCACCTGCGTCAGATTGCAAAGTTGCACGCACAGATGTTCAAATTGTGCTTCAACTTCTATCCTATCACATATACTGGGGACACCGAAAAGTTGCAACCAAAGGCCAAGACTTCTAGTTGGTGAGGACTTAGTGCAATTTCGGATTGACAAGCATGAACCATACGTTTAAGATTGGCGACTTGGGTTACATACTGAACTTTCCGGGGCGGGAAAGCTGATCTAACGGAACGGTCTTTAGTACGAGAGGCTTGGTTATCTTTCCGATTATGTCCGGCAATGCAAGCGGATCAGGCACGTACATCGTCTGCGGCCACGCCACGGAAGCGTTCGGCGACCGCAGGTTTCGGCAGTACCTTTGTGGGATATAGAGGAAAGCGTGTACAACGCACCCGCTTAAGGGTTTGAGCAAATAACTTTGGCTTCATTTGCAAGTTTTGTGAAACTCCTACCTTGCTCTGTCTGACAAACCGTTAGCTTGCCATATTTATTCACTGTGGACAAAATCTGTAGCGATTGCGTCGATTCACATAAAAATAGTTTTTCTCTAGGTTTAAGCATCTTACCCTGCACTTTGAGCCATTTCTCGGACTCGTACGATGAAGAGGGGGTTTTGACTTCTTCGCTTTACTGGCCTTCTTGCCTCCTTTCTGCTGTTGCTGCGGCTTTGCCTTTTGTTGTAATGAACTTATGAATGGTGGCTTTGTCAATACTTCGACATCTTCACCTTTGCGGCATCCTTCCTGCTTGTTTGGGATTAACGCTTTCGGAGTGGCACGCAAGTTTTCAATAACCTGAATTTCATTCAACACTGTTCTCGTGGTATTACCAGAAGACTGGAGGTTTTGAACGTCAACTAACTTTGGAGGCGCACACCAACTATACGCAGATGAGATCATGGCTGAAGACGAAGGCATGTAGTCATGATCTATAGGTAGTGAAATTGGAGTGATAATACTACATTCAGCAGAAGCATCTGATGAGGCGGAGTGGACTAGGGTAGGGTCTACCTATGCACTAGACGTAGTTGAAGGTAAGTGGATAAGGATGACTTGATTAGCACCAATATCCTGTGGCAACAGATCATTCTCGTTACAAACTAAGGAATTAAACGGTCAAACCCCGCAGGACTCAAAACCCTTTGTAGCGTTAGCCATGGTTGCTAATTTGTTGAAACCTTGTTCAATTATTGAGGCCAGATCAAAAAACAAAATTCGCTGACGCGGATGATTTACCATTCTTTGATCAGCAAAGATACTGGCTGCCGGTTTCAAGCGCTTGAATAACGTGGGATCGCAAGACTGAAGGCGATGTATACAATGTGGTAGCAATGTCACCGTAATAACATGGCTAGCAGACGCCAATTCTACAGTAGCTTCGCTGGCCATTAAGTATTAACAATGCAGATTCTGTCATCGATGGTTTACTTTTAGCAATGAAATGTTTAAGCCATTTTATGAATAGCTCAGCATCAGATCATCCATTATCCGAGCAAGAGCCAATGGATTCGGCAGGTGCTCCCTTCAACAGATTGGGATCCTACCGTTTTATCGGGAATATGAACATTGATGGGATATGTCCCCATTGCGTTAACAGTAAAAATGACGGTCACATTTTCCCCTTTTCAGAGCTTGTCTCTTTTTCTGTGGTGCTGTGTTCTTTCCATATCCCATATCCTACTTCCTGTAAATGAGTGAGAACACAGCACATACGGTCGTAAAATCTGTCTGCTTCTGACTTGTTGTATGCATTTGCTCGAGAAAGGCTGGCTACCTCAGGACTTCTAAGTGAAATTGAGGATGTCATACTAGAAATTCCTCTATCCAACTTCAGCTTGCAAATTCAGTCTCATTGTTGTATTGATTTGGGAGGTACATCTTTTCTGCGAGGTCATATGTCGAATGTTTGCGATCGTCAAACCAAACAGCAGTGCTTCCATTGTTTTTATCTTTTAACTAGATGCCTCTTCCAACTTCGGCTGAAATTATGTTCTCAAGCGACCCAGAAATACATACCCAGGTGCAAGGACCTTAAAAACAGCAAATATCAACAGAATATGCACTTACTTCATTGTCTTTTTGTCTCCTTAAACTTCGTCAGTCAATCTTGAACTTATTAGCAGTCTTTTTCAAGGAAATGCCGTTTTTCAAGTCACCCAGTGCCAAGTGCAGGTTATGTGCCCCATATTCTTCCATCTTACTCTTTTGCACATACACTCGAGTTACTCTGGGAAGGTTGTAATTAAAAATTTATTAATAAGAAGTAGGAGCATAAAAGCGATATTAAACAATTGCGAGTAAGTGGTCCATAGGTGTCTTACCCACAATGGGTGCAACTTAAACTAATCAATTTTATTGCCTGCTGTGCTAGTAGAACATGACGCAGTCTCGTTCGGTCTATAATTGAGTGTAATTTTGTAAAATATACTAACAAAAGTACTTCGGATTCATATACGCTTAAAAGACATGCTAAAAATTAGGTGCAAAAGGACGTAACATATTGGGTCAATTTACCTGTAAGAACGGCATTTGATAGCTTATTTTTGTGTATGAAGCAGGGGAGGCGAATATGAAACTATCGAGGCTACAATCTGGACTAGAATATGAATCGCAATGGAAAAGTATATAGGTAGGCTTCTTACACGCTGTGGATCCCACTCCACCCTACCCTTAGATGCATTTGGTTTGCAAATGGAAACGCTCACATAATTGTGACACAATCGACTGCACTTGCCCCACAAGACAGCATGCAGGCCAACCAGAAGACGAAAACAATCGAGATGGTTTCAGGTCAACCCTAGGGCAAAAAGCTATTATCAAACCCTAGTGCGACAAATATATGGGAGCAATCAATTCGAAGGGAGTATTAGTATTAGGCGAACAACGTTTTGGCACTAGGCCGTGCAAACGGGTTTCACGCTTGATGCATGAAGTGCCGGCCAAACGTGGAACATACCTTGATATGAGTGGCTGGCAACCTCGCATGTATATCGACTAAGTGTATGGTGATCGTGTCTTGGCGCGAACCAACGGTCAAATATGACAAATCATTTACACGGAACGCGTCCACATTAGTGGAGGCCAGGACGCCGAAGATGAGTGGACCATTGTTTCTATAGTTTAAATGTATGGTTGTGCAATAAGTAAAACAGTTTCTTCTCACAGCTTATACGCTTTCCACCGAGCCTTGACTTTTGGTTTTCGCGGTGGATCGGACGCCGGGCAGAGTAGGCGCGTGGACAACAGTAACGCAGGAAAGGTCCCAAGCGCAAGTATTCCTGAGGCATTGTCACTAGTATTGAGCCATTCTCTTATCAATGGAACAATGTTTTATGACTGGTAAAAATGCACGAGCACAGCATGAACGGGTCTTCTGATGTCTTTTTTCTTCTTTATTTTCTCCGGCGAATCTTTTTTAAAATTATTCCCACTCAACCATTACACTACTCCGAAGAAACACGTAACAAGTCAAACGATGAAACACGATCGTACAATCGCGGCACAGTCACTCGTGGGTAATGGGGTTCTACTGCATACGTGCGCTGCAGTGCTCGTTGAAACGAAGGGTAGAGCAAACGGTCAATTATGTCTATCCTACGTTACAGATAGCCTAGAACGTACTAGCTAGCTGACTTTTACGCACCATCGGAGATCAATCCGTGTCAAGTTAAGGTACATGGCATTGAGCAGGACGAAGTCGTGGGGGTCGGTGTGATGAAAAGAAAACATTGGACAGATCATTTCATACATAGCGACAAACACTTGTCTGGGAAAAGTTAACTGGAGGGGTCAATCAATGTCATTTGGTATTGAGATTTTAATGCTTCGTACTTTAGTTTTTTGGCACAACCTTAAATCTCGTCGACGTTTTATTCTTACAAATCTTCCGTTTGTTCAGTGACGATGCGACATCCCAGTATCTATTTGCTGCCACTGAAGCTCTGCTCTCCGAAGCAGACATCCACCCAGAACCTGAAACTACCACCCTGGATGAGAGAACTCAGCCTGCTGTCTCCTCCACTCGCACCCGATCAATAGAGTCTGAGGCTGGTCTCTCCATGAGCAAGTCAGTTCGTGAGGTCAGAGAAGTGCTACCTCATCTGGATGTTGAACTAATACAGGTAATCTGCTGATTGATCTTCTGAAACTCTCCCCACTTACTCACCCATGTTCTTCTTATTGTTGCTCCAATCCGGTCTGGAAAGATTTTAACAACTCGTTGTTCGTCTATCTGCCTGTTGTCATATTTTGACCACTTTTGTCCACCCTCAATTTAATAGCGCCTTAGTCAACTGCGTTTCCATTCAGCTGCGATTCACGAACCTAAGTGTGCTGTGGGAATTCACAGCCGCTCCCGTTGTCATGATATTAACAAGGAACAATGTCCATGGGGTTCCAAAAGAGTTTGAAACCAACCGGTTGGTTTAGTTAGACTTCTTTTAAAATCTTTCTGAAATCATATGTTTGCGATTGGTCCTGAGCATATTTCAAGATGTTTATATTATGCATACAGTTGTGACAGACAATCATTCGAAGCCGGATCCAAGAAATCGTGAGGATAGGGGCATAATGCAAGAGCACCAGTGTCTTTGTTATTTCATCGTAAACTGGTAGGCTTCTAGCCATTGATACAAGCGATCACTGAGCCCCGTCCATGTTCCCCATATCCTCTGATACGATCCATTTTCTTCAGCTTGCATATACGTGTCTTTATCATGCTGTTATTTAGCAACTCTGGTATTTATAAATAGATAAATTTATATATTTACCGACAAACGTTACATGGCTCTATAGGCGGGAGCGATCACTTGCATAGTGAATACGTTCCGTGGTTTATACAGCATAAATCATAATAATAAAGGAAATTTAAGCAATAGAATTTCGGATCATGATTTTTTCTCTGCTCCTAGACACGAGCATCTAATGTGAGAAATGTACCGATATGTGTGTCATCATTTTCCAGTTTGTGGGGCTCAGGAGTAGGTAATAAAATGAAAGGGATACCAGGCTGCACAGACACAGGACTTGGTATTGTAGGTAATGACATCTAGTGGGTAAGTTGTTTGTAAACAACTAGCTGCTCATATGTTTTTGTATACCAGCTTCTGTCAATGTCTCTAGAGTTTGTTTTGAACCAAAGATCTTCAACACATCTGGTTTAATGAGGAACGTCTGTATGGAATTTTGAAATGTGACATAGCTTGCACTCATGTGTATCTGTAAGGGTAGTTTGTTCCACAGATCAGTGTATCTCACTAAGAAGAAATTCGATCTTTATGACTTGCAAGCTTTGTGCGTAGCAAATAGCCGTCACTACATGTGAGGTAGACTGCAGTTTTCCGTAGTTCAAGTGCGGTGCTGTCTGCGTAAATTCATTGGTTAATAATGTTGTAGTATGTTGTAACGCTGCCCTTTTGACTCTCTGCCTCTCTGCGCTACCAACCAGCCGGGGAAAACAAAACGCAGAGCCTGCTAGACCGAAGTATATTACGCACAAAACATGGCTACTTTTATAGGTCATATGCGCTTACCTCGCCTCTATCACTGAGGTGAGTCACACCGCTTGTCTAGACAGATTCGACTCTGGTAGCAGCCATATCTCTCTGACTGTAGGTAGGATCACGTCCGCAACATAGCAACCCGTGCGGCGAGGACGGTGTGATTTCGTCAGCTTCCGGTTTGACCATGACAACGAGCCTGTCAGCCGCTCACGTGAGCTGGCGTATCTCGCCCCGCTAGTGTGCACCATCGTAGTCAGCTGTTTCGCCTCCGTGACATAGTAAAGAACGTGATTGTTCTTTAATTGTCTCAGCTAGAGGATGCAGTTGGAGTTTTCGACAGCGATCATAATAACTCAAGTTTGAGCACTGCCCCATGACCAGCTTTGTAAATGATCGTTGGCAATTTCCAGAGTCGTTCTGTCTTTCTCAATCGGCTGTAAACGATAGTACAGTATTCCAGAGTCGGTCGTACCATTGTCTTGAATGACTCAAACCGTACTTCACGTAGGGAGAAAGTTCTGGTGATATATCCGCATAGCTGCCTTGCTTTTGCAACCTGATAAAGTGCATGTTCGGAGAAATTGAAAGAGTTGGAGTACCTAATTCCTAAGTCCCGAACCGAATCAGACTTTGGGATCACGTTTCCGGGATGCGACATCTGTGCCCAAGTATTTGGCATTTCCCTGCGGAGAACTTCAATAATAAACGCTCATTAGCTTCATTTAGTGCTGATAGGTCTTTACATACGCTTTGCAGGCACATTTGTAGTTGGTCTGGGTGAAATGCCTAGACCAGTTTGACGTCATCTGCAAACAAAAATGAACCTCCATGTTTAATGGTGTCGCATATGTTGTGTAGGTAGATTAAGGGAAGCAGGGGTCCGAGCACACTTCTCTGGAAGACGCTACTGTTTATCTGTTTCAGCGTGGAGTATTGCTGTCCGATTCTAATTACCTGTGTTCGACCGTTTAGGTTTGAGTCTAATCGGTTTAGCAGAGAATTTTCGATTCCATATGACTCTAGAGCAGACTGCAGTAGCTTGTGCAGCACGCGGTCCAACGTCTTTTCCATGTCGAACAGAATTATACTGATTGCCATTCCTCTGTCAACCATAGTCGTGTCATGATCGCAGAATTCTAGCTGGCAAGTAAGGCAGGGGCGTTTTGAGAGAAAGCCATGTTGTGAGGGGTTGATCAGATCCAGTCTTGTAAGATATTGAACGATGTTCTTCTCGACTATTCTCTCTAGGGCTTAGGAAGCATCAGAGGTGTGATTTATTGGGCGGTAGCTTGACACTTTCTCGGGCCACCCTTGTGCTTAGGCATTATAATGGGTTGCTTCTATTGAGGTGGAAAGCAGCCGGTAGTGAGAGAAAGTGTGAAGATGTTTCATAACAATTGAGTGGTTTTTTCCTCCGAGTTTTATAACAGTGGGGTAAGTTGATGGTTTTATGGATGCGATGGCACCTTGCACCTCTTTCAACGTCACAGCGATATTACAGCATAGGTCGGTCGTTCTTTTTGCAAGTTGGGGATGAAATGGCTGAGGGTTGGGGACAAAGCAGTAGGCAAAACTAGAGTTGATAGCCTCGCATATGCAGGAGATGTCGCGCGTTATTGAACCATCGTCTAGATACAACGTTTCAATTTCCTGGTGGGGTTTAGGGTTCCTTCTTTTGAGTAGTTTCGTCAATTATCGTACTTTCTCAGTACTTCTAAGTACCCGAATTTCTTCTTTGGTGTTGGCCGTTCGGGTTAGAGGTTGTAGATGTATCAGAGCCTCCGGTATTTGAAGCAACGTTGCGAAACTGTTGCTCCTGCGATATAGTGATTTAAGTTTCTTCAGTTTGGTTGTGACTTTGTACAGAAGCTTAAGTTCACCACTATGTTCATGGGTATTTCTCCATACGGTAGGTGCCAGCAGATCCATATCCAGGTCAATATTGTTAATAAACTCATTTACCCACAGTAGGGTTGTGAGTTAGGAATTCCAATTCATGAGTTTCAGTCCTCACGATGGAGGTTGCGAATGGGTGTTAGCATTTTACTTGGTCGTTTAGTGGAATCTATAGTCATATCACAAAGCACCGTGTTGTGATCACAAGGCACCGACAAGTTTCTGAAGAACGTGTCCCACCTGCCCCAGAACTCGGTCCTTCAGGGACAAACGGTTTCTTCGACAAAACAACTTCAACGTGAATGACCATATGATTGGCATGTATAAACCACGATGTAAACAAATATGTCGTTTCCAAAACTAACGACGTTTTTGCATTCATGCGATTCTTCCTTTTAACCAGTTAAAGAAACCCGCTCCGGCGTAGCCAAATGGGAACCAATCGGTGTATCGGTGAATTTTCGTAAACCTCCAATCAACTGCTCTTTTCGCTTTCTTCGTCTTGTAAATATCCTATCATTCTGCTTGCGTAATACCATCACACCGCCTAGCGTATACCCTCACCGGGCTTGTGCATCTGTTGTCTAACGCTATCTGTATCTCTGTTGTGATGTTGGCCCGGTCTGTCCTATGCCTGGCACTCCAAATCCAACGGGAGGTAGGCAAGTCAAGAACCGACTGTCATCGGATTACTTAATGTTGATCACCACCTGACTTACCCAATCTGTCGGCTAGTAGACTTTAGCTATACCGCTCAAACGGTTTTTCTAATGCATTTCCTTTAATAACCTTTCACTGAAAACAGTTGGAACTTTCTTGGCTGGTAACACTATTAACTTAGGGTATTCGTTCATCGATAAACGTGCACACTCCTCGAATTTCCCAGGGACCACTTCAAACTCCTCAAGCTGAGTCGACGATATCTGCTGTAGCCTAGCACTAATGAACGAAACGATCATAGTTGAAAGATGTAAACCGGGGTGCTGAATGGGACTATTGCCCGATTCTTATAACTCCATCGGAGTCAAAACAGTCTTGACAGTGACCAACTTCCGTTATCCGTAAAGCAAACTGCAAATTGGCAGCACTATTTAATTGAGACAGCTTCTCACTAGTGGCTTTTCATCATCACGTCTTCTACCGTCTTTATCTTACTCATCATCATCATCATACACGTTAGCTAGAGGCGGGGAGCACCTCAGCTACTGTGCCGCAATACACAGAAAAAAGGAGAGAAAAAAAGCAACTGGTGTAAGCCGGCTGAGCTACCGGTAACGGATGGGCATCGTTCCGGTAAGCTACCAGCCGGCTACTGTGCATCAAAAAAATACTGTGCGAAATTATACAAAGCTAAATAATGAGATCGTGGTTGGAGGGGTGGGACAAAGAAACTCACAGCACGAACGCCACTGAGGTCGGCTCCTAGCCATATCAGCAAGTGTATCCAGCCAAACGTGTTCATCGTCTTTTGGACCCCAACTAGGGAGCCGAGACGCTCCAACCGAGGCCAGCTCAGAAGTGAGGGCCTTCATTCCTCTCGACCAAGTCATCGCTTGGCCACCGCTCCTCCCCTTCCATCCACACCCCCGGGGCGCAAACAAGGCACGTCGCGGGAGTCGGTGACTTTATCTTACTGGCGGTTGTGTTGTTCATTCTCTACTCTTTCCCACCCACTCCTATTCTCTACGGCCACGTTCAGCCTAATTCGTGCCTATCCCCTCAAATTCCCCACTATCTCTCTGGCCAAGATGATGTTGGTCAACTCGCATGGGCGGAACCCGATTCGTCTCCACTTCACACAGACCCGTCTACCGGCCACCTCTACCCCACGCGTCATTAATGTGGCATCATCGACACTCCGTTCGCTCTCGATGGTTCGATCCAATTCCACTCGTCCTTGCTTAACCAGACTGTGCTTTGTTCACTTTAGACTGAGCTACTTCCGATTTGTTTCTCCAGTTTCTTGTGCTTGTGGTCTGCTCACGTCGGTGATGACTGGCTGCCCTCCAGTTTGCCTGCGCTGTGTCTGTCACGTCCATCCAAACGACTTAGGGCGGGCATAATTCCACCAACACCACCAGGAACTTCAATCTAACCGAAGTGAAATTATTGCTCTGTATTCGTGCTATCGTCCCTCACCCATTTATGACTTACTTTTCATTCATACTTGCTCGAATGCCCCTTTTTGTCCTTTTCAGCGCTACCTTGATGAACTCTGTGGTGATCCCAGTAAGGTGATCAACGCAGCTCTTGAGTGTACCTTTCCAGAGAATGCCATTCATCGGGGCGAACTGGTGAAGTTAGTTCCTCTTGACATTTCCATTTCCTCCCTTCGGAACTAATGTGCACAATCACGAATGGCTCTAGTAGCCTGCTATAATTTCATAACAAGAAGACTGAACCATATTTCACGTATTTTGTCTGCTCTTTTCGTACAGTGTTCGGAATGACTAAGTTTCATACATGGGCGATCAACCTGCAGTGTCGTCGATGAAGCCATGGCGGACAAGGGAACAATCACCGGTCTCACCATGGCATGGCGAGGCTGGTCACGACCTCTCTACTTGCACCACAGCTCTTAATCGTTTTTATAATACTGGCTCGGTCTTCTGCAAAGCACTTACCTCACTCTGGTCTGTTAGATGGAGACCCTCTTAACTTACCAGTGAATTAATCATAGCGACAATCTGCAACAAGGCCAGTTGCGCTGACTGTGCTAACGACACGTGTACTAGGCTAACGCCGGTGGTGACTAAATTACTGGCCTCGTGCATCGCCTCGCTGCGGAACGGGAATTCTGGAATAAGAAGAGCGATCAAGTTTTTGCCCAGGATGGGGATGTATAAAGCACATGTTCCCTCCATGGCGAGTACTGGAGCAGCGTCGCAAGGATCGCAGACCGACAACGGCTGTCTGTTTTTGTACTTCAAGAGTGCGTTCGACTCAGTTGCTCGACGCATTCTGCTCCAAATGCATGTGCGGAAGGGTGTTCCCGTGGCAAAGAACTCGATTTATTTGACCAATTCGCTTGCCTAGACAGCTGCGTCAGCAACGATTGGCGCATAACCAGTGAAATCTTCGCGTATTGCAAAAGCTAAAACACCTGCGACATCCGCGATGTCAAAAGTCTGTTTACCTTGGTGTGAAAAATCGTGTTTACAATGCCATAGTGAGGGCTCTTTTACTCCATTGGAGTGCACAGCCCCTTCGTTCTGAGGATCTGATGCGCCTTCAGGTCTTTGATCACCATTCTCTGTGAAGCATTGCAGGTGTTAGATGGCAGCAGCGTGTCTGCAACGATGATGTGCGTAAGCGATTTCTACGCAGTGATAATCATGCTAGTTCCCTCGAGCAACAGCTGGCATTGAATAAGCTGCGTTGGTTCAAGCGCGTTTGCCGGTCATCGCTTACCGTGGAAATTATTGTTTTGTTTGCCAGACGTAGGGTGGCGCAAGGCCGGAGATGGCAGCGGGCAATGAAGTCATTGAGGACAAAAAGTCGGTGCCGTTGGTCCGTCTCGACTTCTAGGCTGAAGTCTGTTACACCCAAGTGAAACCAGAACAGCGGTATGGTAGCTGGAAAATTTTAGTAGCAAGCGTGAGACACTACACTCTACTCAGCATACGTCAGAACGTAATACCTGTCTGCCACGATAGTCACATGAGCGCGAGAAGGAGTTCCAGTTCGAAGCGAATGGCGGACACTGATTGGTTGTCACACAAACACGTACGCACATAGGTACATACGCTCCTAAGCAGCAGGTTTTCCGGCTGAATAACAGTGGATGGACTTGGAACGACTAATGACCAAATCATCCTTCCCCCCTTTGGTTCAAGCTAATTGACCTGGAAGCGCTCGACTGGTCGCCGTTGACGATTAGGGCGATGTAGCAAATGTGCAGTTACTGAATGTGCGTCAGTTACCTGGACAACCGTCGGTGATTGGAATGGTAGACCTGGTTCAGCACTTGTTTCTCGATTCGACATTCTTGACTGAACATGGTCCAAATGCCGCCGCACGATCCGGCCATTAACAGTTTCTGCTTCCAGGATCTGCCCCTTGGTTGCTTTTACAACGGCCGGCTGTCAACCAGAGTCTGTAGGTAAAAGGACCTAAATTGGGCTTGACTCTGTCACAATTCTGTCCCTGCTGCAATTAGCAAAAGGTTCCTTCGCCCGCTGTTGCCTTTCAGTAACTTGTGACTCAATGGTCCCATGCAGTAAATCTAACCGCGTACGCAAGAATCGACCGTACATTAACTCTGCAGGGCTTCCACCGGTTGTCCCGTTTGCCATGTTCCGGTATGCGAACAGAGAACGATCCAAACGAACACGCAGTGGAGCATTTCGTTGTTTGATTAGCAGATTTTTCACTGTCTGTACCGCCCTCTCTGCCAACCCGTTTGGCGGATGGATGATAAGGTGCAGTAGTTATGTGTCGAGCGCGGTCCGAGCGAAGAAAGTTAGAAAACTCGGCAGTGGAAAACGCTGGCTCGTTGTCAGACACAAGTGTTTCGGGGAGACCAAACGTCGCGAACGTTGTGCGCAGTTTAGTAACGGAGCTAGTTGAAGTTGCTGAGGCAAGAATGTGGGCTTCAATCCATTTAGTAGAATGGGCGTCAAGGATCAAGAAAATAAGCTGACCCTCGAAAGGACCGAAAAGGTCTACTTGGACGCGTCTCTAGGGTGTTTCTGGCTACTTCCAAGGCTGCATTGCCATATAACGGACGGCGTTTCGGTTTTCCTTACGGTCTGCAACTTCTAACCTTCTGTTCTATGGCATCGTCCAATTTGGGCCACCACACATAAAAGCGAGCTAGTGACTTCATTTTGGCAACTCCTGGGTGCGCATCATGTAGTTCATCCAGGATACTTGACCGAAATCGTGTGGGAACTACAACTCGTGCGCCCAATAGTAAACATCCATTCTGGAGGCTGAGCTCAGACATCCTATTACGGAAAGGCACGAGTTCTTTGGATGTGTTATTTGGCCATCCGATTTGAGCGCAACGTTTCACCAGCCATAAAATTAAATCTCTTCTGATGGATGTCCGTTGACGTGACCGGGGAATCATTGAGATGCTGAACCAAGTTTACAAGCTCTTGTGGAGTAAACTCCTCCGAAGGTATCTCTGGTAAAGGAAGTCGACTAAGAACATCAGCTGTGATATTTTGCCGGCCGAGAACGTACTGGATTTTATATCTATATGCAGATAGAATGAGGGACCAACGAATCATTCTGGGTGAAGCCATTTGTTGAATCCCCTTCTCTTGGCCAAGGAGGGAAACAAGAGGTTTATGATCCGTATAGATCACGAAGGGTCGGCCAAGTAAATATTGGTGAAATCAGGTAGTACCGAAGATCACAGCTGCCGCCTCTCGATCAAGCTGCGAGTAATTTCGTTCTGCTGCTGTCAGTGTTCTTGTGGCCTATACCACAGTGGGTCGCTGGTAGCCCTCCGGTAATTCGTGCAGTAAAACAGCTCCAAGACCGTATGGTGAAGCATCACAAGAGAGAATAACAGGTTTTTGCGGGTCGTAATGCACAAGAACATTTGCTGATGCCAAAAGCTTTTTAACCGCCGTGAAAGCATTTTCATGAATCCTGTTCCACTACCAAGTTTGGTTTTTACGTAGGAGTTGATGAAGCGGATGTAGACGTGTTGCCGCTGATGGTATAAGCCTTGAAAACTGGGTAACGGCACGTAAGAATGATAGCAGTTCATGAACATTTTTGGGTGCTGGCGCTTCAAGTAGCGCTCTTGTCTTTTCTTTTAATGGGCACAATCCTTCTCGTGATAACCGATACCCAAGGTACTGTACACTCGGCACAAGAAATTCACTTTTCTTTTTTAAACCAACCCGGCGTCTGATAATCGTTTCAGGACGACATCCAAAGTATGCAAGTGTTCGGTGATAGTACGTCCAGTAACCAGGATGTCATCTAAGTATGCACATGTGTTTGGTATGTCCTTCACCAGTGTGTCAATAATACGCTGAAAGATAGCCGGGGCCGAGCTTATCCCAAATGGCATGCGTGTATAGCGGAATAATCCAAGGTGAGTGCTAATGGTGGTGTATGCACGTGATTCCTCATCGAGTTCAATTTGTTGGTAGGCGTGGCTCAGATCTAGTTTGGTAAAAAGCTCGCCACAGGAGAGAGAAGCGTAAATGTCTTCAATCTTTGGCAGCGGATATCTATCTAGCTGTAATGTCTAGTTGATCGTAACCTTGCATTCCTCAAAGATTCGTATGACACCATCGCTCTTCAATACTGGCAACGTACGGGCTGCCCAGTCCGAATATTGAACAGGTTTAATCGTACCCTCTAGCTGGAGTCGGCGTAACCCACTCTCGACTTTATCACGAAGAGCATAGGGAGCAGATCGAGCTTTCCGAAACCTTGCTGTTGCCTGTGGTTTCAACACTAGATGCGCGGCATACTTTTTCAAAAGACCTTCTCTAGACTCATCAAACAAAACCGCATTTTTCTGCAAGATATCAAATAACTGTGCATGGGTTTCCACCTAGTTGACGTTCAGCATGATGTTTGGGAGGCGATTAATTCCGTCACAACCAAAGACCTTCGGGCCAGGTTCTCCAGAAACGTACACACACATATGATCCGTTCAATTATGATAGATATGTGCAATGAATGTGCCCAGCAACTTCACCATCTGTCCCGTGTAAGATCGCAAGTGTATCTTTGGTGGATCTAACTTTGAGAGTTGTGTTAAAGCATCCGGTCGTATTAGAGTAACTGCAAACCGGTATCAATTTCAAAATTCACAGGGTACCCGTTTACCTTGACAGACATGTCAGAAGGCTTTTCCGACGTTATAATGCGATTTAAAGCTGTTGTGGTATTGATCCAGTTGGTGTTAGTTCTCGGTGATGCAATTTGTAACTTTTTGATGCTCAGATACAAATGATTTCCTCTTGGCAAATGGGCTTTCTGAACATGACCTTTCTTACCACAAACTGCATAAAAATGCTGACTGTCAGTTGGGGACGAATGACTTTCACCGCAGTTAGAACAACGAAATTCTCTACTCTGCACAAATTGAGTTGCGGTTTGATCACAGTTAGTCTGGGAGACTTGGTTTACATCCTGTGAGATCAACTGATTATGGGAAGAAAACGCAGCTAGTTTCTGAACGAGGTTGGCACGCTGTCGGACAATATCACGGGCTTTTTCCCAAGTCAGGAACCTTCGTCTTCGGATACCAGTAGTTTTCGTGCCTTCTCATCGAAAACACCCACAATTAACGCCTGTAACATCATCGCTTCTTCGAACTGGTTTGGTAGTATCTGATCACATGCACAATCGGGCAAGGAAGTAAGAAATAGAGAGATAAACTCATTTACACTCTCATTCGATTGTTGTCGCATGGTGTTGAATTTGTAACTTGCTGTGAACTCATGTGGCTTTTCCCCCGATGTTGGTCCAGGGTTTAGGACACAGATCATAGGTCCCTTTGTATGTAGTTGCAAACTTTCGAAATGTCGCTGGCCCTCATTAACGATGTGGTGGCGTAGTGGTTTGATTTTTGCTGCCTCATCTAGCCTGTTGTTGCCGCTCAGAGGCAAAAGTAGACCAACGTAATTACCGAAAGTAGTTTTTCACTGTGTCCATTGCTGGGTATTAGGTCTTTCAGTAGAGGAGTTCCAAAACGGGAGGGGTGCCTTAATCTAATTTTCCATGAGTTATCCGGTAACCTTCGTCGCCAATATGTTGCACACAAGCGAAGTCAGAACAGTGAGGTGGTAGTAGGAAATCTTTAGTAGCAAGCATGAACCACTACACTCTACTCAGCACTTGTCGGAGCGTAATAACTGTCTGTCACGATAGTCACATGAGCGCGAGAAAGAGTTCCAAATCGAAGTGAATCGGTGGCGGATACTGATTGGTTGTCACACAAACCCGTACGCACATAGGTACACACGCTCCTAAGTAGCAGGCTTTCCGGCTGAATAGCATTGGATAGATTTGGAACGATTAATGAACGTAACAGGGTCTCCGTGGCCCGCCTTATGCTTGACTCGCAAGATTGCAGGAAATGGCTAGCAGTCGGAACCAGTGGCGTGTCTTGTCGTCTCTTAGTGGTGCCGTCTATTTAAATCGTATCTGGTGCTGAGCTGCTGTGTACGATATACTATTTATAATCGGTCATGGCGAATATTTTTATTTATTTATGAATAGATTTTGTATATACCTTTTTTGGGTTTCTTCGTAGTTGTTTCCAAATTAAATAGTCCTCTACATGCCGGCTTGCGGAGATCCTGTCTTCTACACGTCCATAACACGCTTGCCAGTTACGGATGAGCTGCGCTATATCGCATTTAGATATCACCCATGGCGGGCCGCCGCCGTCAGCTTTCACCCAGTGGCACAAGTCACTGGCTTGTGAAAGGTAGGCCATGATTTCAGATCCGACGGATGCACGCTACTGACGAGTCCCCATAGGGCGAAACGGCTGTCGAGCGCTTTCTTGGATGTTTGGTGGTTGTCTGGCTGAGTTTAGCCGCGAACGATCATCTAAACTACATAATAAATCCCCTTACTACTCGCCAGTGATGCTGAGTATTTGCGCCTTATGGATTTAAACCACGGAATCGTCGAAGCTTTATGGAATTGAAGCGTGTTTGTTTCTTTCCATTTCGATTTCCCCAAACGAATCTCTTGGCTTCTTGCTCACAACGCGTTCGGGTACATGTCGAGCAACCGAACTAGCTGAGTTGAGACCATTTGTGACCGCGTAGCCCGGAGTAAACATCGAGACCTTTAGAGAGTACTTCTCAGTTCGGCCAACACTTGCCACCGCAAGTACAGTTTTACACCGGCTAGCGTCGATACAAACAATTCGTTTATGATTGTACATTTCTCATCTAAAAGGATATAACTCTAACGAAGAATCATTTGGAATCGCTAACCCAGCTGCCAATATACGAACAGGGGGCAACACTCAGAAAGCAATTCTTGTAGACATTAATCACTGCTTTCGTGATGTTACGCGTAGTCCGTGAGTTGAAGAAATCAACGGAGACAGGATGAATTATTATGCAAGCCACGGACTTAGTTCTGCGCTCGTAGATTTCAGATCTCTCGAAAACATTTACATGGGGCTATCACTCTGTGTTTAGTCGTTTCACTTCTAGGCGCATCGCATCAAAATTTGGCTTGATGGTTAACCGTACTTGCGAACGTATTAGTAGTTAAAAAATAGATCTATGGTGGTTTTCTTCTACGCAAGTCAAGTGAGTTAATTAACCTCTCTCCGCCGTTGCTTAACTTCAGTGGATGCTGAACACGTTTTTGTGCGACTTAGTCATTCATCCTACCGCATGCAATAGGATGGCGAGAGTACTCGAATTAAATCAACTCCTCATTCTGTTTGAATGTGCTTGTTTGTCATTTTGAGATTCGCATGAAATCTGTTATAGTGATTTACTTGTACTCGTTTATTCGTAAGTAGATTTCGCCAGCACGGGTTAAATATCTAGTTATGACAGCGTAGTTAGCTCCTTAACCCATCTTTTGAATGTTTTTTACTCATCAGAATACAAAAGAATCCGAAGCCACAATCGGAAAAACGATTAGAAATGGATTTGGCCACCGCTGCAGCCACAGGAGTAATCACCTTGCAGCCTGATCATTTGTGGCAAGGCAAAAGAGTGGTCGTTCTTCCCGAGCTGAGTAAGCGTGAAAAACGGCTCACGCTGCGTTCTGCGTTCAGCATCTGGGAAGATGATGAAGATAACAACCGTTTTACTTCAGAGTTAGCTGATGGAGTCCCAAAGAAGTCAGAAAGGTGTTTCGAGAATGTTTACGAGGGTGAGTCAAAGAAGCCCATGGTCTTGAATTAGGTCAGTTTGGCGCCCACCCTCCTGTCTAGTTTCTTCCATGCACATGTCATTTTGAAAGTTAAGTTAGAACTATTGAAGGACGTGTCCACCTTTTGCTATTTGATTTTGTGCCCCCTGCTTGTCATTTTACTGATATCACTTAGGCTTTTATGTTTGAACGCATGAAACTGCGTAGTGGTTTTTTAGAGAATCATTACTTCGTGATCTGCTTATAGAAAACGACCAAAACCGTTGTGCGCCCTCAGTTAACTGCAGTAATTATCAGAAACAGTACTTCTTGTGCAGAGTAGCACAACATTTCTTCAGATGCTAACGAAGAACATCCAGCTACGCCATGACTAAAGTGCACTGTCTCCTGAAGACAACAATCGCCGTTTACCTAGTGTGCTCTATTGATATTGACTTGTCTTACTACCAAATACTTAATGGACTAGAAGAGTTCACACTTTCATAATCATGGTTGTACTTGGTCTGAAGCTGCTCGGGTGGGATTCCTGTGTGCTCGGAGAAAGTGCATCGTCCACGTTATCCATACCGATGTATGGCCGGTGGCTGAGAGGATTGTACGCCTGGTTTGCAATCCGTAAGCCGCCGGTTCGAATCCGCGTAGAGGCCGGCGTCTTCACGGTATCTTCGGCCCACGCGCGACCGGTGGTGGTCGCGTGGCAGCGAAGCGTCGCTACTGTGTGCCGGCTTGCTGCTAATTGATGACTTTCTTTTCTCTATATCCCGGTGTATGAGTTCCGGTGATCATTGCTAAATGTGATTTTCTTCTGAATACAGAGTTGTTTGCTCAAGGATAAGATCATAGTTATGGTATCTTCGCTCTTGGAGACCACCAGAGTTTGTAATTGAGTGAAGCACAACCGCTAAGATGAGTACAGTTGTTGTTTTCGCTAACGTAGTTATTCAGCGGAGATGCATCGGTGCTTAGACGCTGTTACATTGATATACAAGCCGTAACTTCTCTCTTGTGACACCACCTTGATACTGTGAATGGCGAATAATACTCATATGGATAAGTGCTTCTTATCCGTCGCAGAACGGGCAAAACTAGCTATTCCGTTTAGAGTAGTTATCGATTCAGCTTTGACTGGCGGACTCAGAATTTGCTTTGGTGGGAATTCTTTGGGGAATCATCCATTCAACAACCTACGGAGCTTTTATGACGCTTACAATAAATAGACATTGTCCATATCTTTCTCTGATACCGCACGGTACTTGCAGATTTCCAATTAACGACAACGTGCTGCTGGGCTCACGATACTCTGACCAGCAGCTGCCGATAGTCCATCTCTCTCACTCTCTCTCACTCACTCCTCTCTCTCTCTCTCTCTCTCTTAACCTGCATATTTCGTCGTTATCCACTTCTACTCGAATTAGAGGTGCATAATTGCCGGCTCATTTGTGTGATCTCTGTTTTGGCTTAGGTGCTCTATGAGATCCTGAAGAAGGGTCTGCCCCAGCTGCTGGAATCGAATGACATCCTTACTCAAAAACTGCACGGTTTCATGAAAAGCCGCTCATTCATCACCAACTTGCACGTAACGAAACGTGCAGTTTGCACGCAGGGAACCAAGAGAAGTATGTCGATGTGAGCCACATTGATTTTGATAAGGCTTTCGACAAGGTGAACCCCAAGGTCCTCTACACAAGCTGAAGATGTGCAGTGTTGACGACTCACTGCACCAATAGATCAGCGGCTTCTTTATATAGCGGAAGTTGAGGGTACAGGTGGATGATCATCTAATTGATTGAGTATCTTTCTCTGTGTGTATGTGGTCTGCAAATGTAGATCTACTGGTTAACTCAGTCAAGTCGTTGTTTCTGAACCTGGGAAAAGGTAGTGATGGTCGTAAGTACTCTGGCTGGCCAACTAATACTTCTATGTGCATTCTGACGCTGCGACTTGAAGTCTGTGGGCTACACTAACAAGTTATGAGGGAACGGACTGCTCATACTTTGAGCGCTCAAACGCAGCTTCTGTACTTATTCTGAGGGATTGCACATTATTGTGCGTGAATTTTAATCGTGACTTCTACTTTCTACGAACTTTACACTTCTCACAAACATCCACCATAAATAAATAAATATTTTATTCTCGAATTCATCGAGGCACATTATATGAGGCATGATCAAACTTTTACAAGCAATTATGCGCAACAGGCACGTTGCGTTGTACGCCATGGGAAGATGGCTAAAAGGTAAAGATGTTGCAGAAATAAGAACAGTATTGGTGAGCAACAAATTCGTTTGATGTGACGGTAGTCTTTGTTCATGATTGTAATGTAAACAGTAATAACGTATAAAGTGAAGTGGTGCTGGAATGTGCAGATTAGGAAGTATATTATAGTGTATGTATCAATAATAATAAAATGTAGCGCTAGTCAACTTGCCATTGTAAAGCCTTGCGCTGCGACTTTACTCAGCGGTTAGTCATCTCCGCCACGTCTCAGGGTTGTTAGACGGACATTTGTGGATTTTTATGGGGAAAACGCTTGGCAAGCGAAAACCCACCACGTTCTGGAACACTGCCGGCGATCCACTTGAGTGGTAATGTTTACCTGGCAATGCATCTTACCGACCGATTTTTCCCTCGGCTATTCGCAGTCGAGTAGCACCCGGATATTTTCTTTGGCTGACCGGGATGGCTTGGTCAAGGTCCGCCATTGATCGTTGAAGTTGGTCGAATATGAAGTAGAGTCATGAAGAATCGGGTGAGGAAGCGCGCAGGTTAGTAAAAGTATCAAGTTACTAAAGGTTTGGATCTTTCTGTCTTGGTATACTTCTCCGGATTGCAGGGCTGGGCGTCCAGCTATCCCCGCTGGACTTATGTGAGGGTGATGTACGCGGTTGTATCCTAGTTTGAGCGTCGGTCCAGTGCGGGATCTCCAGGAAGTTCCCGATAACCTTTTCGGATCTCGAATAAAGAGGAAAGAGACAGAAGAACCGGGAGAAGACTGCGATGAACAGTCATGAAAATAATTAACGCGAACGTTGTTGACCAGAGATAAACTGATGTAGAATGTGCAGCTACTAATATGCTGAAAATGTCTTTTGGTGTTGCAACAAAGAAAATGGCTGCATGGGTAGATCACTGTCCTATATAGAGAGATCAATGGCGTAGCTCCTGAATGCGATCTGCGAAATATTGGTTTACGGTGGTGATTAATATGTGGAATGAGAGATAAACATGGGGTCAAATATGTGGTGGTAAATGAATATCAAGATATCATATGCTAATGTGCGACGGCATGCAGAGTATGAAGCATCATTGGCGTGCTAGGAGACAGAGAGCTGAAAACGGTTCATTAGTAGCAAAACATGAGGATTAGAGCTCAAGCTTAAAGTGAAACTGGTCCGTAAGTCTATGCGTATAAGGAATAACTGAACATCTGGAAAGGAGAGGCTAACGTGCGGCTGTGCACTGACCAATTGAGATATCTTCGCTCGTTAGGAAAGGACAGCGAACTGGTAGAATTCCAGCGTACATTAAAGTTGTTGGAAACATCAGAGCAACAGGCTAAAACGCAGCGGCGCGCAGATAATTGGTTCATGCCAGGGTGCTAAGAGAATAATGCTAAGGTAGACTGAGCCAGGGAAAGCCAGAGAGCTGGACTCCTGCAAGAGAAAGGTCGAAGAGGTTGCAGCGAGTAAAGGATAACTGAACATCTGATTAGGAGAGCCTAACAAGCGACTGTGCGCTGATCAATTGAAATATCTTTGTTCACAAAAAGAGAGCTAAGCAAGGTTAATTGCTGGAAGGACACCGAACTGGAAACAAGCATGCATACATTAAGGTAGTTGAAGACGTCTGAGCATGTGAGGCTAAAACGCAGCGGCACGCCGACAATTTCTGCAGTATTACAGTGTGACGTAGTTGCACTCTTTCTATTCGTGCCTGATTCGGGTACTCTTTTTGAAGGTGACACCTTGTTGTTGTTGTTGTTGTTGTGGTGGTGGTGGTGGTAGTGGTCTGGTGACTAGTCTAGATCAATGGCGCACAGTAATGTGAAGCATGTGACGGACGTTGCATCTTTTGGTGCGGATCGGAAGTGCATAATGCTGACATACACTTTACATTTGCAGCAGAACTTCTTGATTATCCACAGCTAACAAATGTTCCCGAATCTCTTTGGTTGTCCGTCTCAGGAACCGGTTCTCACATTTTACCCCGATGTGTTTACAACCCGCAACTGTTTTCGAGTTTGTTGCTGAGATGCCACACATACAGACGATAATTGCTGATGATTTTAACCTACCAAACATTAACTGGTCCTCTCAACCATCCTCGTCTACTCATACAGCTTTCCTTTCCTCTCTCAGAATTGGTAGGTGGATACAGCGGGTTACTGTGACAACAAGGGCGACCAGTATACTCGACCTCATATTCACTTTGGGGGTCACAAGTGCACAAACAGAGGTATGGCAAACTCTGGTAGTGACCACAAGGTTATTGCAGGCGTGCAGTCCCTTCACGACCCAGCCGACATCTGCGAAGCGTTTAGCTCCTCTTCCGCTACCTCCATGCGCATGGAGGCGACCATGTTATTTGCATGCACGGGGTGCAAACAACCAAAGCCCTGTGTAAGATTGAATTTTCTATAATTCCTATCCATGTAATGATTTCTACTAAACCGTCTTCCCATCTGGATTCCGATAGCATCCCACCTGCCGTCACAAAACTGGGATGGCCTGACATGACTTAACTGTTGCTGTACATGTTTACCCTTTCGTTGGAATCAAGCTACTTTCCAGACCAGCGGAAAATATCGCTCATCATCCCCCATCACAAGGGTGGCTCCAAACAAGAAATTAATAATTACCGGCCAAATCATCACACTCCTGTGGCAGTCAGAATATTAGAGAAACTGGTTAAGAATGGTGTGATGAAATTCATCAATTCGCTGGAGCTAATAGACGGGTCACAGGATGGTTTCTTGGACACATGACCGTGCATAACCTGCC